TTATTGTTGCTGAGACTGACTTTAGTTTTCAACAACTGTTTTTGACCAATATGTTTAACATATCTTTCTGAAAGCAATTACTGAATATCACGATTCTGTTTATCTGAGGGTAAAGTACTATTTTCTTGAAAAAGAACAAAAATAATTTTAGAATTAGTTTTTCTGCACCCTATCCTTACTTAAATAACAATATGACAATACTGCTGCTCTTAGTTAGGTAATTAAGCTTAATTGTGAATTAAATCTGAAGGACTATTCAGCTTCACCTGAACCCCATATGTAGTCCCTCATTCAGCTCCAGCAAATCAATCGGGGGCTGCACCTTTTCCAAAGCCAATCATCTTGTAGGATCCCCTTCATTTAGCTCCTGGCCCAGATTCTCTCTCCTTCATGCACAAACTTTCACCCACCTCCACCCCGTCTCCTCCCTCATTCTCAGTCCCACTTACCCTCTGGCTTATTCCACCACGTGTCCAGGCCCTGAGTGAAGACTATTCTAATCTTTTTCTAGGTTACTCATCCAAACTTACGTTGATTTACAGCATCAAAGTCTTCTGCCAGGCCCGAGCGCCAAATAACATTTCGTTAATGTTTTCATCTGCTTCTGTCTCCTTTAACCCCAGTTGGCCTCAGCAGATGGCCGCTCAAACTGAGCCTGGTTCTGCTAGAGGTTTCTTCTTGTTAAAAGGGAGTTTTGCTCTTCATTGTCACTACATGGATGCTTAGTGTTAGGGATTTCAGAGTCTCCTCACAGTCAGCTGGTTTTCCTTATATAGAAATATCTTGAATATTGTATTATTTGTATAAATAAATTGAATATTTTATAATTACAACTTTTCTCTTTATAGCTATAATTGCCTGAGTAGAATATGGTAAAACTGAAGAAATGTTTGCCCATATAACATTTGGTCATTCTTAGGGTAAATTCAACTTAAAATTCGGCTGTTTAACCTTATATTGAGCAAAAACAGCTCTGTTTTAAATGAATATTTTTCCCTGTATAGCCAATTTACAACCTGTAAATGTAGGAATGTATTGGAATCAAAACTGCTCAAACTTATAAGTACAGTATTTTTTTTCTGTCCATATACCCTACCTGCTGTACATATTGGTTTATACATTTTGTGCAAAAGAAAAGGAAAAGTTGACTTTTTTCTTGTTGAATTTCATATTTATTGTTAAAATGCAGTATTTTTTCTCATAAGTTTTCCATCAGTCAGATTATATAATTAAAAAAACATTGATTTAGTAACCGAGTGGCCTTTTTTTTTTTAAATCAAATATGTTAGCATTCTTACCTTTGGAATTTCTGGGTCAGGTCCTTTATAATAAACATATGTAATTTATTTTTTATTTTTATTCATTTTTTTTTACCAATTTCTGGGTCTATAGCCCTGCACAATAGTGGTGCTAGAATAGTGTCTGATATACTGTCAAAGCCACTGAATAATAAATTGTCTGCTCTACTCTAAACCTGTAACCTACTTAAGGACACACACACATATATATATATATATATATATATATATAAAAAAAAAACTGTTTTCTCACCCCTCGTGGGGTGGTATGTGTCATCCTCAAGCTCGGGTCCTCTACCAGAGGCCTGGGAGTTTGAGGGTTCTGCGCAGTATCTTAGCTGTTCCTAGGACTGCGCTCTTCTGGACAGAGACCTCTGATGTTTTACCTGGAATCTGCTGTAGCCACTCTCCCAGTTTGGGGGTCACAGCCCCCAGTGCTCCAATTACCACTGGCACCACTGCTGCTCTTACTTTCCACATCTTTTCTAGCTCCTCCTTCAGTCCTTGGTATTTCTCAAGCTTCTCGTGTTCTTTCTTCTTGATGTTGCTGTCGCTTGGGATTGCCACATCTATCACTACTGCCTTCTTCTGCTGTTTGTCGATCAACACGATGTCTGGTTGGTTAGCCATCACCTGTTTGTCAGTCTGGATCTTGAAGTCCCATAGGATCTTAGCTCGGTCATTCTCAACTACCTTAGGAGGTGTCTTCCATTTTGACCTTGGGACTTCCAGCCCATACTCATGGCAGATGTTCCTGTACACTATGACAGCTACCTGGTTGTGGCGTTCCATGTATGCACTCCCTGCCTGCATTTTACACCCCGCTGTTATGTGCTGTATTGTTTCAGGGGTATATATATATATATATATATATATATATATATATATATATATATATATATATATATATATATATATATATATATATATATATATATATATATATATATATATGTGTGTGTGTGTGTGTGTGTGTGTATATATATGACCTGTAGTTGAACTTGCATGTATAACCCTAACCCTAACCCTAACCCATGTGAAGTAATACCTAAAAAATACCTAAACCCAAACATATAAAAAAAAAATAATAATTCTAAAAATTTTAATTTGCTTACCCATTACTAGTTTTTACAATCAATCACTGCATTTTGTTGTCTATTCAGAAAAAAAGGAAAACAATATAATGCATAATAAAATTAATATCTTTGATTATTTTTTACTTCCTGAATGAAGCTGCAGAGAAAATTGAATCTGGGAAACTCTTACCTGCAACACATCCTTATCGTGAGCCTTTTTTCCAGCCTATCAGTGCAGCTCCCCATCTTCATTAAAGCCAATCACTATCTGGGACATTGTTGCTTCTCACTGAACAACAAACCTTCAACACTCCTTCTCCAGGGGGATAGATAAATCTAACCTAGACCTACAGTACCTGTCCTACACACAACTGCATTCAACCTGGTCTGCTGGTGTCTGAGGATAAATCACTGTTAAAACTTTTTAATTGCTGTTTTTCTAAGTGTGAGTCTCTTCAGGTTGAATTATGTTCATGCCTATATACAATTCACACAACTGGCTTTTTATTTAGTTTTTGTTTCAACCAAGTAGCACACACATAAACCATCCTAATGTTATGGCAAGAACAGACACGTCTTCTCACCAAGCAAAGTCGAATGAAGTAAAAATCTCCCAGTCAAGCAAAGTTCAATGCACCGGAAAATCAACAAAAAGCTCCTCAAATACCTTTCGATATGCTATCATTATGCCTTTCATAGGTTAATTCTTGTTTTCTTATTTATAAAGACTTGCAGGATTGCTACTGGTTGCATGATGGTGATGGCACAGTGGGGAGTGCTTTCCTTTTTATTCACCATTAAAACTTAGTTTTATTCACCGGGGCTTTCCAATATTTAGCACATATAATAAAACCTTTCTGTGTTTCCCAATAACAGAATAAAATTAGATTTAATCAAACTACACTTTAATAAAAGGTGGAATCAGAGACACAGTGCTCAAGACATAAGCTTCCATCAGTGTGGTGTTGTTAGCAAGGAGCACTGTGTGCAGCCCTGTTGCTTAGTAACTATGCCTGCAGTAAATCATGACTCTGATGATGGCCCTGGGCTACTCAGGTAAAATTAGTTCAACGAAACAGGAATTGGAAAAATGATATTTGTGCTTATGCGGGGCTTGATTGTTTTGTCTGTTTGAGAAGAAGCATGTGGTGCAGTATTTCTTAGAAGCTTTGAGAAACAAAAATCTTTTATGTAAGTATAAAATAAAACAACAACAAAAATGTAGCCATCTGCACAGTGTTTTCTCCTGCAATTATAGAAAACCATTTTTCAATTGCAAGGTTTCTACTGATCTGGATTTCAGACCTACAGTATAGGAAGTTGTTAATCAGATCATAAAGACCTTTGCAGTATCATGTGTAAATGTAAAAATATTTTCTCTATCGGTTTGCCTTAATGATTCATAAAACATTTTGTGATGTTTTTATAACACAAACAGTATAAAACAAGAGTTATTGTTGTCTGTGCAAGATGGAGAGATGAATATGAATGTGTTTTAGAAAAAAAAATACCATCACAACATTTGCCATGCAGCTTCCTGTAGCATTTTAGCCTAATATATTTTCCATCCATACAGGAATGCAGTAATGTAACTTCAGCTAAAATAGACAAGCTGATTAATAAATCATGCATTGGCTAGTCACCCTCATATGCCACCATCCTCTTTGTCAAGGAGATTCTCACAAATTTAAAACCAAAATAATATATATTTTTTAAAACCTCAGCTGTTTAGAGACCTTCAGTGACACTAAGACTAGCAACAGAAATATAATATATATAATATTACAGAATATAACTTATGCCATTTTTATGACAAGAACATCCAGTTTTAGGGTCAGATAATGGAAATATTGTTGGGCTTACTTTAGGCTCGGGAAGTTCTGTTGCTGTAAGGGATCACATTTTGAATTGAGGGCTGTGTGAAACTGAATGTGTAATGTGTTTAGATTTTGAACAAGGCTACACAAAACACTGAAGACAAGGAAGACATACTGTATTGAGGCTACAATGAAACTTTCCTAAATGTGTTTCTCAGACATCTGCATTATGATAACCTCAAAATGAGCTTAAATCTTCTAATTATAAGAAAATAGTTGTGATGTACTCATAGAGATATAAATACAGGTAAATGTAATGTGCATACATCAGAATATATTTAAAGGCTGACTGATTCAGTTACTGAATTCAAAGTTGAGCCCATCCAATGTCTGTGAGTGAAAAAAGGCTGTTGGAAATGTATGCTAATGCTTTACTAAACTGTGCAGTTTAAATTTCCAATCTGTGTGCATGATCTCCTATCTGTGCACTCAGATTACTTTCTATTTTATTAAATTACAGTTTAAAGGATGCTAGAGGAAATATTACTCAAAGTGGTGAAGATGGTTTCACTGAGGGCATGCGCTGTCTGGAACTGATGTCCATTTTTAAACTTTCCTTATCATTCAACCCAAACGGGTTTTAGATTGGAGTTAGATCAGGAGAAAAAAAGAAAACATGTAAAAAATGCATATTTTGCTGGAAGAAGTCCTTTGTCAGGCATTGTGAACTGCAGTACTGGGCTGCAGAAAATCCCAGTCATTACCACACAGACAATGATCTTCAGTCATTAGGGATGCCACTGTTGATCAGCCTTTTATTATTAACAAATATTTTGACAAACAGACACAAAAGGGAGATTTTCTGTCACATTCCTATTACAGTACCTGTAAACTCATAATGAAAATAGAAAAGTGGTTATTATTTTTATTTGTAGTAAAGTAGTACCTGTTGAATTCACAATCTGTTGGATAAAGTATAATTTTTCAAAACCAAATAGCGGATGGATATATAAGAAATAAGATATTAATGGAATAACAAAATAGTAGCGACTTCTTTGTATAAATCGTGATTCATCTTTAATTCAACTTCATTCATACAGGTGAACTTCAGAAAGTCATTAGATCTAATATGCAAAGGACATCTATTTTATAAGTGTTTAAATACAGAGATTTAAGCCTGTGACAGACATTTGTTGATAAAGGAAAGTGTATACCTCAGAGTGAAAAAATAAAAAATAGGTAAGGTTATCAGAAGGTTATAGTCTTAAGTTAAATGTGTTTTGTGTTTGGTTACAACACACACAAAAAAACTTAAAGAAAGGGTATAACAAATATTATGTATACAGTCCACCCCTAAATATTAATGTCAGTTTGTCCTCAAAATCAAATGACTGTGTTAGTGTGAAACAATAATACACAATCAAATATAAAGCTAACATTTGAACAATTATATTAAAAGCTCAGATAGGATATTAAAATAATATGTAAAGTAGAATTACATTTAAGTCTTAAACCAAAATGCTTAATAAAATACTTTAGCCAAAACACAAGAGGAAAAATATGCACCTTTAAGACTTGAGTGGTTAATATTTTGTTCTTGAATGACGTCCAGATTCATACATCCTAGAGAGGCATCTATGAATGAATCATGTGCTTGATTGAATATTTGTTTATACCTCTATGAACTGAATTAATTTGCCTTACTAGCTTGTGGAGTGCCATGTTTAACAACAAAAAAAAAATAAAAAATAGCACAGTATATTACTCAACCTTGATATTTGACTTCCTTTAAAAAAAGAAAGGAGTTTTTGATAAAAAAAAATTAGATAAACACTTTATCCACCAATATTTCTTTCATAGTAACAAGTGTAGAATTAAAAAGCAATGATGGCCTTTTCTTAAAAATGTCTGTAGGCCTAAAGTCTGTTTGAGCGTGTTTCTAAATTTTAACTTTCAGGCATTCTGAAAGCATTAGTGAAAATTTGACTTAAAAAACTAACTAAACTAAAAAAAACTTTTTCACTTTTACTTGAGTAAAGAGGTTAAGTTGATTGACTGTTTTTCAACTGCAGTATCTATACTTCTACTGAAGAAACAAATGTGTGTACTTTTGACACCACTGTCTATATATTTTAAAGTATTTATAAGATGAGAAGGCAAATCTATCCTTTGTGACTGGCTTGTTTTCGTTGGCCTTTCTTCTGTCGGTAATGAAACAGGCTTGTTGTGTCAAGATCACCTGCATAACCAATGGCTTCAGCGAACAACTTCACCACCTATAAAACAAAAAAAGTGTAATTCCTTGAATACCATGAGACAAAACCAACCAAATTTTTAAAATTTCCATTCTGTGGTTAAATCCATTAAACTGACCTGAAAATTTGTAATGAGGGGAACACCATGGTCAACTGCCATTCTTCGTATCAGGAAGTTATCGTGCAGATGGCGTGTGTTGTTATTGGGCAAATTGACAACCAGGTCAATATGGCCCTCACTTATCAATCTGTAGATGCATGCAAAAAAACTTTTAGAAATAGCTAAATGTATTTAAAAAAACACAAAAAGCAAAACACTAATTTAAACTTTAGCAAAAAGTATGCTTATGAGATTAATGTAATTTAATCGATTTGTTATTCGTGGACATGTGTAGGATGCGAGTACATCGGTGTTCTGACAGGATGCAGTTTTTTGATTAGATGCATGCATCAGTTTTCAAAGCTTTGCACTGGAAAGATACGTCATTCTAATGTACGAGACATAGAAGACCTTTTCTAAAACTACATACTACATTTGTAAGTACTTTTAATATTAAAATTCAGTTTTGGAAAAAAAAATCAGAGGGAAAGGACTTTGATGTCAGTTAAATGATATAAAAAATACATAAACTAGTCTGATTTTGTTGAAATTTAACTATAACTATATCCAAATATATTGCATTATATAACATCAAACTCAAATTGGGCTGTGCTGGATTAGTCAACAGTGTTAAACTTTGGTTGACATTTGAATAATATATAAATTTAGTGATATATCTTTACTGTATAAGACTGATATACTTTCTCTTTATGTGAAATAATGCAAACGTTTTATACAATATTATTTCCAGGGACTACAAGAACACTGGGAAAAGAAAGCTGACTGAAGATTACTTGTTCTCAGAGATTCTACTGTACACGGGTCCAAGGTCAACCAATAAACAATAGAGAGGAAATATCAGAATTTGGCAAGTCAAGGTGACCCAATGCTTGATCTCATTGGATTAACTACTAAGAAAAGAAAGAGAAACAAAACAAAGCAAACAATACAACTAAAAGGCATGAAAAAGCTTGTTAATATTCTTTCCCCTAATACCAAGCATGGAAAAGTTTTGCTTTAAGAGACATATTTTTGTTTTTATATAATGAGCAAGTCAGTCTTTTAAAATACTACTTTTAAATATATTTGTAGCTCTAATACAGTGAAAAACTGCAAAACAGAAATGGCAATTTCTTTAAAACTAAAGTAACGCAGAAAGAATATAATTAGATTTTTATAGCTGAAATACTATTTACATATACTGATTTAGACATGGGCAGGACATTGCTGCAGTTTGTAGCACTGTTGCTGTGCAGCAAGAGGGTTCTTGGTTTGATTCCCAGCCAAAGGTCTTTCTGCATGGAGTTTGCATATTCTCCCCGTGCATGCGTGGGTTCACTCCTGGTACTCTGGCTTCCTCCTACAGTCCAAAAACATACCTGTAGGTTATTTGGCATCAAATTTGCTCAAAATTCTAGAATTGCGCTGCTTAAGGTTGCTGCATGTTGGAGTTGCTCTGATAGCTTGACTCTGATATTCTTTTTTAAGTGAAGTTGAATTCTTCCATTTGTGGATCAGAGTTCCTTTTTCTGATTTTTTTTTGCCTCTGTTGATGAATGCTGTGACACTGGATGAATTTTCACTGATAGTTTTGTCCTCTTGTTATGATAGTTAACCACAGCAATCATAGCAAGTTGATTTTTTTACACCCAGGAGAAGCTCTTTAAGATCTATAAAGTTGAAATAATATTTCAACCACTTTCTCAAGGACATACTAATTTGAAAAGGAGGCACCCAGGGATGCCGAGCAGGAGCAAGGAGAAGAGTGAGGAAGAAGAAATTTAAACCATCTCTTCCATCAATCATAATGGGCAATTTGAGATCTTTAGGAAACGAGTTAGAAGAATTCCAAACCCTAGCAAGGACCCAGCCAGAATATTGGCAATGCAACATTATCACATTTTGGACTCAAGCATCTCTCTGTCACACTTTTTCACCATACAAGCAGACAGAAATTTAAAGAAGACTGGGAACTTCAAAGGAGGTGGGCTGCCAGTGTTTAACAACACATGGTGTCATCCAGGACAATGGTTTTTGGTCATATTATTTGCCTAGAGATTTCAGCAGTGTTTTTTTTAGGAACTGTTTATATTCCACCTTCTGACGTTGCTGACACTGAATGAGATATGATCAGTTCCATTGTTGCTAAGCTTGAGACACAACAGCCAAATGCATTGGTGAAAATAACTGGTTATTTTAATTGCGTCTCACTCACACTGCCAACACTCCAGCAGTTTGTCAGCTGCTGCACCAGAGAAAAAAAAAACATTGGACTTGTTTTATGCAAATGTCAAGGAATCCTACATCATCTATCAAATAAGATCTACTCTTGGGAAATCAGATCATCTGCATTATAAAGAACTGTAAGACGATAATCAAAGGAAGCTGAAGAAGCCCTGCAAGGTTCTTTTGAGGCTACAGACTGGGATGCACTGTGGTGAGGAAATTCAATGGAATGACTGAGTGTGTGACTGACTACATAAACTTCTGTGTAGCTAACACTATCCCTACCAGAACAATGAAATGCTTCCCAAATAATAAAACATGGATCACACGGGCTCTGAAGCTTTGCTCTACAAGAAAAGGCAAATCTTTAAGAAGGGAGACAGGGAATTAATAAAAAGTATACAGAAATAACTTAAGATCAAGATAAGAGAAAGCAAGGAGGCATATAGGAAAGGGCTGGAAAACAAGCTAAAGTAGAAAAACATCAGACATGTGTGGTCAGGGATGAAGAAGATCACAGACTTCAAGCAGGATGATCCGACAGATGGAATTCTGGACAGAGCCAATGAACTGAATACATTCTTCAACAGATTCAGTTCAGGAACAAGCTCAGCATCTTTTTCTCCTGCCCACAGTCACAAGGACATCCTGCCCTCCTCTGCCATTGACTCTCTTGCTTCTATTAGTTTGTTATCTACCTAATCAGAAGATGGTGTTCCCCTCTGCAGAGCAGTTCTGTGTGATTCTACAGCACCTCTTTAACATTAGTCTGACTCTGGAGACATTTCCAGTGATGTGGAGGACCTCCTGCCTTGTTCCACAGCCAAGGAAGACTCTGCCAACAGTCCCCAGTGACTATAGACCAGTTATCCTGACATCCTGTATCCTGAAGGTCCTGGAGACACTTCTGTTGGGCCACCTCAGGAAGCAAACAAGCAACTATCAAGACCCCCTGAAGTTTGCTTATCGCTGTGGAGTTGGAATTGATGATGCTATCATACACCTACTTCAACAAACTCACTGTCATTTGGACAAGTCATGCAGTACTGCGAGGATCAAGTTCTTAATTTCTCCAGTTTATTTAATACAATTCATCCTGACTCAGAAGCCTCCTTCTGAGTCAATAAACGCCTGGATCAAAGACTACCTGACAAAATAGGAACGTACTCTCTGCATTTCTTTTTACTCTGTAAATGTCTGACTTCCAGTACCAGATAGAGTCCTGTCATCTGCAGAAATACTCAGATGACTCTGTAATCATTGGATACATCAAAGATGGACAAGAAGTGGAGTACAGCACTGTTGCACCACTTTGTGGCAGGGTGTGGAAACAATCATTTGATCCTAAATGTCCACAAAAAAAGGGAGATGATTGAAGCTTTCAGAGCAAACAGGAACAAGTTTAAACCTATACATTATGGGAGAAGAATTGTAGATGGTTGAGGAGTTCACTTGGACAATAAGCTTGACTGCAGACACAACTGGGAAGCCATCTACAAGAAGGGACAGAGCAGATTGTACTTCCTAAGGAAGCTTAGGTCCTTCAGTGTTTGCAGCAAGATGCTATATATCTTCTTTAAGTCTGTTGTGGAAAGTGTGATCTCTTCTTCCATGCTATGCTGGGGTAACAGCATTAGAGCTATTGACTTAAAAAAACTCAACAAGCTAATGAAGAAGGCCAGTTCTATTATACGAACTGCTATAGATCCTCTGGAGATTATTTCACAAAGAAGGATTCTTCATAAAGTTAAATTATGGATAACAGCGAGCATCCACCTTAGAAGATTTGTGAAAAACAGCTGAGTATATTCAGTAAGAGGCTTCTCCAGATCTGGTGAAAGACAGGCTGCTACAGAACATCTTTCCAGCCTACAGCTATCAACACCTGTTTAAAAAAATAATGTATGAGTAACTGCAACATTTAATTTCCCTTTGAGATTAATAAAGTATTTTTGAATTGAATTGAATTTTGTGTGCATGGTTGCTTGTCTTTGTGTGTTGCCCTGTGAAAGACTTAATGACCTGTCCAGGGTGTACCCCCCCATTTGCCCATACACTGCTGGAGATAGGCAACAGCCCCACCATGGTCCTGACTAAATAAGCGAGAGAACACAGATGGATGGATTAAGACAGTTGCATTCCTATTATGAATTTGGCTTGACATAAATCATATGGATCTGTAATTAATATTTCTATTGTTTTGTCTGTTAGAGTGATTAAATGTTATGGCTTTAGATCCCTATGCCATATTGTTTGCTAATTACAGGTTCTGAATCATTGTTTATGCAATGTTGCAACATTTACTTGTTACCCTGATCAAAATGTGTAAAAGCCTAACAAAGAAGAAGTATTTTTTTTAAGGATTAGAATATTGGACTGGACTTGAAAACGTAAATCTTTATTTATCAGCATAATTAGCTAATAGAAAAGAGAACCAGTTAGATCTTAAAAGATCTAATCTTAAAAGATAAACACATTTACTCTCTCTCTCTTTTTGCTCAAACCTGCAAAGATGTTATAGCAAAAACCTACTTCAAGTGTTGCAAAACAGCATTACTACAAGGTATGGGATTCAAAGTATTGACAATAGGGATATATACCTTGAATAAAAAAAACAAAAAAAAACAACTATTTTTTGTTGTTGTTTTTTTTCTTCTTTGTAATAAAATAATATGACTACTTAAATATAAGTTGTGTGTAAAAAAACAGGTTCCGTGTTTTTATTTTGTTGTGAGATTATATAGTTTTGGAATATAACATTATTTTTAAGCCTTTTTTAACATATCTAGCAGATCCTTTGCACAACTTATTAAAGGTACTAATTTTACAATATATAGACTATTTATTTGGGTTTAGGTTTCTAAAAGGGGTATTAGTTTTTTGCATGAATAAAAATTTAAAATGAATAACAAAAACCTGCCAACCTTTTTATACTTGGCAATGTTGTGTTTTCTTCTTTTTCAGAGGGCCAAGCCACTGGAATGGCATTTACGTCATTGGCACACAACCAGGCTGAGGTAGCTTCAGTAGCATAGAGCTGGATGGAAAAATAAACACATTTACTTTATTTAAAACTCTAAATTAACTAGTTTTCAATCAGTTACATAGATTTGACTTTCATGAGATGTCTCATCCAATGTCTTACTTTCAGCCCTCACCTTGAAGCCTTCTTCTTTCAGCTGATGTGCTGTAGCAAGGAAATTTGGTCGGAAAGATTGCTGGAAGGGGACAATATTAAAAAGAAAAAAAATTTTATATATGGAAGAATAGTACAAAATCAAATAAGCTCCGAGATGATGAGTATCAGAAGTTTGTTGCCCTTAACTGAAGTTCTCTTTAACTTTAAATAAATCTTTAACATTTAGCCAATTACACATTCACACTGTATAAATAATATATGTTGAGATGTAGTAAGTAATTTTCTAGTAAAAACCTTGGTCTTTTTTTTTTTCACACAAATTCTTGGTGTAGCAGAACATGTGGCTAGCTATTTATTTGAACTGGATTGTTTAGTTCAGTTTTTGTGATTAAATGTCCAAAACACAATAAAGGTTTTTCATGAAGCACTTTTTTTCAATATGGAATTATATTTATGCAAAAAAAAAAATATATACATTTATTAAAAGGCTTATTTACAGGAGTGCCAGTCATTTAGCTCTGCTGTACATGTTCCCCTTGGAAAGAGTGTTTTTGATTTATTAAACACGTCCATTCTCGACTAATGATAGTTTAACTAGTTTAACAGTTTAACTTCTGGTTGCTAACAACCAGATCACTGAACTTCACTGAACTTCCAAACAGTGGTTATTTAAACACCTATCAAACTTATTATTGATTTTTTTTTCTTCAATATTCTGAAAAAAATTAATAAATACACTCAATTTACCTCCATCAAATGTTATTGTTATTACAGAAGAAATGTCCAAAATGCCTGGGAGTTGTTCAATATTATCAAATGAAATACCTATATCCAGTGTGATACTTTTTTTTGCCTTCAAATGATTCCAAGCCAGCAAAGGAATTTTGTTGTGTTTTATATGAGGATGCAAACAAGTTTTAGTTTCATGATATTCTTTATCAGTGCATGACAGAATACATGCATTTCTGTACACTATCTGTAAATGACATGCTATTTTAATTTTTGCCACTTTTCTAAAGTTTTTTTTTTTTACGTAAGGTAACAGCAGGTCCTCTGCAGTGTCTTATATATCAGCCTAACATATTAGAGCTTGAAAACCACAGAATTATCTTTTTATGTATCAAAAATATGTTTAATTCAAATCATGTTAGTTATCTTTTGTGTTTTAAGTTTTAGACAGTATCTCAGTAGAATTTATTCCAAATTTGGAGCCAGTCATACATTTAAGTTATATTAGTATTTTATGAAGAAGCTGAGAAATGGCAAGATGACATTATAAAGAGGCTGATATTCCTGAAAGATTTGGACTGCCTCTTTATTCTACACCTTGGTTTTGATGTCTTGTGCCGAGCAAAAACAAAAAGAAAAAAAGGAGCAAGTTGAATGTTGACCTGTAGGTGGCTGAATTGTTACCTGAATCCCAATCAAGATGCCCTTCTGTGGAAGCTTAAATCCTGTGGAGAGGATGGCCTTCAGGAAAGCTGAATAAATGTTTGGTCCAAAACAAGCTACCTAGATAAAGACAGTAATGAAAACATTTCCAAACTGTTAGAAGTATTGAATCCTGAAATGTGTCCTTGTAATTAGACATGAAAGAGTTTTACCAAAAGCTGAAAAAAAACAACAAACAAAAACAGTTGAATGAGACTGTATAACAGCAGCAAGCTTACTTCTCCAGTGGAAGCCATCTCACAGCGGAGAACAGGGTCTGCATCCCTTAGTCGTGGCCAAGAAAACATTGGTGCCTAGAAAAAGCAGAAACGTTCAATTTGAGGGAATAGGATGTTCCATTATGAGTCAGTTGATTGCTGCTTTTGAAATACAGTGTATCATTTTAAATTGGTTGTTCAGATATATATATGAAGCAGTCTACAAGAATACAAAAGGCAATACAAGTTCACTTTTTTTATCTAAACTTCCTCTAAAAAACAACAATTTCGGAAGACAGACAAAGAAAAAAGATATCCTTTTTAAATCTTAAACTTCTATAAAATCATCAATTCATTCTAGATCTGTCTTGCTGTTTCAACTTGTAGAATGTAATGTGTGTGTGGTTGTATGAATGTCACTTTAAAAGGCTGCTTCCTTTCAAGGAGCTTCTGTTGAATTTTGAAAATAAGTGAAAGTTGTCAATCATGGCCACCGGGTAAAATGAAGAGAGCTTTTATTTATTTTATGATATCAACGTTAAAAGGCTAATGTTAAACTGACAACAGAACCAATTTTTCAGCTTTAATCATGAGTAAAAGCAAGCCATGTTGGAACTGAATCGAAGCAAAACCCAAAAATGTTTCTCTCTAGACAGCTTAAAGTGGACTTTTTACCCTCAATATGAAGCCCATCGCGGAGATGCATGGAAATGGTATGGGATATAAAGAGAGTATTTTATTCCATCACAAAACAACAAGGGGTAGATGAGAAAGGCTTGCGCACAGTTTTATATAAAGTGGGGGCTGTATTAAATGATAGACCAATAACCGCTTGTTCTGACGATCCCAATGATTTAGAGGCTCATTTGTTCCAATTAAAGAGTATTCCTCTATACTCAGAAGTATTGTATTTGAATTTTTGGTACAGCTGTTTGGTGAAGCAGTGGATAGGGCTGTTAACTCTCAGCAAGAAGGTTCACTGTTCAATTTCCTTCCCAAGGTCTTTCTATACGGACTTTGCATGTTCTCAACATGAATGTGTGGGTTCTCTCCGGGTTCTCCAGCTTCCTCCCACAGTCCAAAAACATGACTTTTAGATCAGTTGGCTTTACTAAATTATACTTAGGTGTGGGACTGTGTGTGCAAGGTTGTGTGTCTCTCTGTTGCTCTATGACAGAAGGGCAGATGGCAAACTGTTCAAGGTATACACCGCCTTTTGCCCAAAGACTGCCGGAGACCCTACCAAAATAAGCAGGAGAAGATGGATAGTTGGATGGTTTGGGAAGCTAGAAGGCCACAACACTGTTGGAAAAGCTTAGATTCAAAGACAACAGTGCAGTAAAAAATCATGCTTGGTGGGTTATCTACACTAATTAGAACAAGAAGCAGAGTAACTCAGCCATATCAAAAAAGTGACAACATCACAGTCAAAACAACCTTTAACAGTACTCTAGTTAATTGTATGTACTCTCTCTCCCTGCTGGACATCATAGATCATGTTTATCCCTTTTAACCTGCTAATCTTAAACAGGCAGTAATTCCTCCTCTTTTAAAGAAACTTTCTCTTAATTCTGATATTTTTTTAAATTGCAGACCTATATTCAAATTGCCTTTTATCTCAAAAAGTCTTCAAAAGTGGCTTACAAGCAATCAATGGCATTTGCTGAGGAATGTATTATAGTTTTTTTTATCAGGTTTTGGAGCATTAAAAAGCAATAAACCTTCCATTTTAAGAGTCTTTAATGACGTGCATTTAGCAACTTACTCAGGGTACTGTGTTATCTTTTTGCTTCTAGATTGAACTTCTGCCTTCGACAAAGATGACCAATACATTTTAATTTCTCGTTTGGAGGGGTGTGTGGGTGTCAGGGTGTTTGCATTACAGTGGTTCAGGTCTTATTTGGCAGAGTATCCTTTCCTTCAGTGTTTGGTCCTGCTTATTCTTAGGGCATTTTTTGGGAAACATGGAGTTTCCTTCGACTGGTAAACAGATAACTCCCAAGTCTATCTTGCTCTTAAGAAAGCTAAGGGCTTCTTATTAAATGTGCAGGTCAAATGTATTGATGATATAAAGGCCTAGATGACTTAAAACTTTTTACATTTGAATGAGCAAAAGAGATGGAAAACCACATGGTTTTTGCTGGCACATCCCATGTCTCCGACATAAACCTTGATTCTCTGGTACAATATGATAGGCAAGTTATCACAAATTCAAGATGAAAGTGATCTTAAAACCTTGAAAGCCAGATTAGGGTACTTGTTAAATCAAACTTTTTTTTCATTTGAGGCAGGTAGCTAAAGTAAAGCCATTTAATATCAAGACAGCTCTTTGAAACAGCAGTTCATGTATTTGTTGCATCTAGAATGAATTACTGTAACCCTTTATGTCTTCGAGTTAGTGATGCATACACCAGATGCCTGCAGGTTTTGCAAAATGATGAAGGATGACTTTTAACTAGAACAAAAAGGTTTGACCACATTAACTCTATTTTCAATTTTACCTCATTGTTTCCTATGTTTTAGGATCCTTTATAAAAATGATCTTATTTCTTTTTATTCCTTTTAATGCCCCCACCCCACCTTTCTGAGTTGCTGAACTGTCTTACAACTGCCCACTGCCAATTGGTTGGTAGACCTTGAGGAATGATCCCCTCAGGATATGCAAAACCCTTATGCAAACAGGCAGCCTTTGAAAATAGCCTTAAACTGAAAGAGAGGAAACCTGCCTGACATCGAAGGGTGGATTATTCCACAACTGTGGAGCAGTTAGAGCAAAAGCACAATTTCATCTTAGTATCTGTTAAAGCAACACAAAAGTAGCTAAGGAGTAGGAAATGTATTTTTGAAGAAACATTTTCATTCATTTTTATCACCATCATCACATTTTCCTGAACATATTTCTTTATAGTGCTACAAATCTAATCTTATTACTGCATCTATGACAATCTGGTATGATTTATCAGGTTTTTTACTTTTCTCTCACATTGAAAGTACTTCTGGATCAGAGTTCATCTTGTGTGTGCGCTCTGTCAGCTCATGCCAGCAGTTGATAATAGCAGCAGGGACTTTACATTGGACATGGTTCTGCTGGAGGTTTCTTGTACAAAGGTAGTTTTCCTCTCCACTGGCACTACATGCACTCTAGGTAGTGGGGATTACTGCAAAGTCTACCAATGACTGTCCACGGTCACTTGATGCTCATCCAGTGGGAATTAATTCTGCAAGTCATTGACTCAATAAATTAACTTTATTTAGAATGTAACCTTCTGAAAGAAGACTAACTAAAAACTAGTTAGTTATAACTAAATTTGACCTAGTAGAATAATTAAACGTAAGTAATAATAATAGGCCATAAAAACAATGTAAAAGTAGGAATAATTAAAAGAGACTGAAATTGACAGGGGACATGAAAAGAGAAGGACACAAACAGTAGGAAAGGAAGAAGATACAATTGTGAAAGCAGAAGATAAGATCAGAAAAAAAGGAACAGAAAGGTTCAGAAACATGAATAAACAGTGATTTCCTCTCGCTATTGTATTAAACAAAAAAGTAAGAAAAGTCAAATGTCATTTGGGAAGCCATTCTTATTGCTCCACTTAAAAATTGCAGAACCCTTATTACCTTGTAGAGAGCAAGCGGTGGTGTGGTGTTGTGTGATTTAGGTGGCCATTTCCATACACAGACAGATACACACATACAGGCAAGAGCCACTGGGGGAGATTCATCCTTGAAGAAGGCTATCTAATCAGTAAATGTAATGTTAGCATGCTAATGCAAGAAGAAGTGAAGAAAAGTGAAGGAAATGCACAGAGGGAACCAGAACAGCTTATCATGCCTTTGTTTAAAGAGTCAGAGACAGACGGGGATGTAACCAAGAAAGAAAATGAAACAGGGGGGAAGAACATGTACATTGGGAATAACAATGAGAGAGAATTTTCTTTGAAGGCTTAAAAGCAGATGCAAGTAAAAAACCAAGTAGAAAAAAAAGACATAGGCAACCATTCTAACTGGCTAATTTCACCACCCACCACAATAAATAAAGAAACCAAGCCTGCAGGGGGTTCTCTCTGTCATTAAACCTAAGAAATAACCTTCAGTGAAAATGAGGTGAAAGTGTAAATGCACAAAAAAGGCGAGGAAAGAAAAAAGCCACAGCAGCAGTAGAAAAATAAACAGTCACATGCAACTTTAAGATACAACGTAAGACATAAAAGCTTTTTTACTTTTAAAAATATCCCACAGTTACAAATATGTGCTTATGAAATTACAGGATTTTCTGGCGCAATAACCACGTTTTTTAACCAAAACATCAAATCCCACTAGCACATACTGTAAGAAGGACTTCCAAATTCCCCAATTCTTTGCTGACTGCCCTCTCCTGAGCATTACTGAGAGGCTTCAAAGCATGAACAATGTTATTATGGGACACCAGATGTTCTAATGAACAAAGCATTTTTGTTTAGTGATGGTTCACCGAGTTGGAGATGGGAGTGGTCCAATTTAAATCTCTCAATAGATTAAATAAATTTAGTTTCATGAAATAAAAATGAATGAACATTTAATATTGTTTACAAACAGAATCTTATTGAATATTAATATAACCATATAAATGCTAAAATTATTTATTGGTGAGCATTAATTTGATGTCATTCAATTTATTAAAAGAAAATTAAAAGCCTAGCCCAAATTTACTACATTTGCTACAATTGCTAATCCTTGAAGTGGGTAATAGTGGCAGTTGGGGGGTTAACTTGTCATAGCCTCTGCGTCATTATGCAAGATATGTGGAACATCCTGGACAAGGTTTAAAACAACCACTATTTTGTCAAAAAAAATATTTTTCTCAATTAGATGTACCAATGTCTTAGAATACACTGGAGATTTTCCACTTGAAATTCACTTAAAAGAATCTGTGAAGGAAACTATGGTATAAGATGAAAAAAAGTATTTAAACTCCCGAAGTGCAGAATTAAAATAGCAGTGGAAAAAGGTTTAGTAGGTTTAATTGCTTTAACTCTCGATTTTTTCTACTTCTTTTAAGAAAGATATGCACTTTTCAACATGCTTTTACCACACTGTTGGTAAAACCAGCGACA